CCGGCTAGGATCTTGAGCTTCTGGAGCTCCTCATGGAGGTCAACCTCGGAATCGGCAAACTTCTCCGGCTGTTCCGGGTACTTGAGACGCGCGGCGATATTTTCCTTGAGGCGGCGTTCGAAGGAGAGCACCAGCTTCTTCAAGGTGCGGAGGTCAAGAATCTCTACCGAACTTTGCGATTTCTCAACTGCTTCTAGCAGGGAAAGGTCAATATCCATGTCGTTTTGGCCTCGGAGCGCCGGCGGCGGTGAGGTTGCGGCGGAGGAGAGTGAAACGGCGTCGTCTGCTCTGCGCTTTCGGGTGTGGTTAACTTCCATTGTTGTGTCTGCTAAGTGTTTGCGTTAATGCCTAGTCCAAGTCGGGTCATAAAGAAATACGTGGAGTTCCCGCTTGCTCGCGCTCCCCAAATTTTACCGAGTTTATTTGGCAGATGGTTAATATTTTTAAAATTTTATATTTTTCACATATAAATATGTAGGAATATTATTGTATTTTCATTATTATTATAAATATATATATATATATGTTTCATAAATTATTAATAAAAATAAAAAATTACATGACATGTTTATCCCAAGTATTTTTTAAACTAAAATATGTAATTCAAGGAATAATAATTTTTAAATTCGATCGTAAAATAAAAGTTTAATAATAGTTTCGAGCAAAATCAACTAAAGTAAGATGTGAAATTTAGAAAAATGAATTAATTTATATATGCGACGAATAGAAAAAGATGTCTTAGTTACTTGATTCTATGTAGAAGATATGTAATTACCAGAGAAAAAAATAAGGAAATATGCTGAGAATAGTTGCAGCCTGAATGATTGGTTATACATATAATCATACATATATATATATATGTATATGTATATGTATGTAATAATAGAGAAATAAAAAAGATAAAATCAATCATATCCTTCTTAATTCTTCAATAGGTCATAATCATAAAAAACCAAGAAAATGTTCCAAGCATAGATCTTCTGGTTTTCTTCACTAGAATTAGAATCCCCTGCCTCTCCTTCCT